GTGTTGATCAGTATAGCTTTAAAGTAAGTATTGAAGTTGGGGAACTATGAAAAACCAAAGTTAACAAATTTATTGGTAAAAGACTGAATATTTTCCCTCTAAGATCAGGAAAAAGAATGTCTGTTCTCACTACTTCTATTCAACATTGTATTGGAGGTTCTAGATAGGGTAATTAGACAAGAAATAAAGAAGAAATCCAGATTGAAAGAAGTAAAACTATATATATTCACAGATGACATGATCTTGTATATAGAAAATTCTAAGAAATCCAAACTATTACAGCTAATAAATGAGTTTAGTAAGGTTGCAGAGTACTACTAGTTCAGTATACAAAAATAAATTGTATTTCTATATACTAGCAATTAATGGCCTGAAAAATTTAGAAAAAATCCTTTAATAATAACATCAAAAAGAATAAAAAAACTAAGGAATGGATTTAAAGTGTAAGACATATACTGAAAAATGACAAAACTGTTGAAAAAATTAAAGATGTCCTAAATAAATGGAAAGACATCTCATTTTTACAGATCAGAAGGTAATAATATTAAGATGGCAATACTCCCCAAACATATATAGATTCATTTCAGTCCGTAATCAAAAAAAACTCAGCTGGTATTTTTTTAGAAATTGAAAAGCTGATTCTAAAATTCATATGGAAATACAAGTGACCCAGAATAGCCTAAACAATCTTGGGAAAGAAGGAACCATTTGGATGAATCACATTTCCCAATTTCAAAACTTACACAAAGCTACAGTTATCAAGACAGTGCTGTCTTGGCATAATAGACATATGGATCAATGAAACAAAACTGAGAGTCTAGAAATAAACTCTGATGGTCAATTTTCATCAAGAGTGCCAAGATAATTCCATGGGGGAAAAATTAGTCTTTTCAACAAATGGTGCTGTGACTATTGGACATCAACATGCAAATTAATGAAGTTAGACCTTTACCTCACATAATATGCAAAAATTAACTACAGTGGATTAAACACTTAAACGTTACAGCAAAAACTATAAAACACTTAGAAGAAGACATAGGTGTAAATTCTCATGATCTTAAATTATTCAATGATTTTTAGATGACACCACAAGTGTAAGAACAAAAGATAAAAACAGATAAATTAGATTTCTTCCAAATTAGAAACGTCTGTGTTTCAGAGGACACCATCAAGAAAGTTAAAAGACAATCCACAGAATCAGAGAAAATATTTGCAAATCATACATCTGATAAGAGACTAACATCCAGAACATATAAAGAACTTTTACAACTCAACAATATGAGAAAACCCAATTAAAAATTGGGCAAATGACTTGAATGGACATTTATCTTAAGAAGATATGCAAGTTGCAAATAAGCACATGAAAAGATGCTCAACATCATTAGTCATTAGGGAAATTCAATCAAAACCACAGCAAAATACCACTTTACCTCCACTAGTATGGTTAAAATAAAAAAGGCAGACAAAAGAAGTGTTGGTGAGGATGTAGAGAAATTGAAACCCTCAGACATTTCTGGATTGTAAGATGGTACAGCCACTTTGGAAAACAGTTTAGCAGTCCCTCAAAATGTTAAACATGGACATACCATGATTCAGACTTAACACTCCTAAGTATATATGCCAGAGGATTGAAAATATATGTCCACACAAAAACTTCCACATGAACATTCTTGTCAGCATTATTCATAATAGCTGGAGTAGAAACAACTCAAATGTCCATCAATTGATGAATGGATAAATAAAATGTGGTATATACTACAATGGAACTTTATTCAGGAAAAAAAAGGAATGAACAACACAGATGAACCTTGAAAGCATAATCCTTATTTGAAGACAGTCACAAAAAGCTAAATATTGCATGATTTGACTTGTATGAATATCCATAATCTATAGAAAAAGAAAATGGATTAATAGTTGCCAGGGGCTGGGGTCAGTGAAATGGAGATTAACTGCTGCTAATGGGCATGGGGTTTCTCTTTGTGGTGAAATCAGTTGTAGTGTTTTTTGCACAACTCTGAATATACTAAAAACCACTGAATTGAACACTTAAAAATGGTGGCTTCTATAGTATACAAATTATATCTCAATAAACCATTCTTTTTTTAAATGGGGCTAATAGCTCCTGCTTTATAGTGCTGTTGGGAGCATTAACTGAAGATGTTTGAAAACTTGCAAAATTAGGCATCCAAATGTTTGGTGAAACTGAAGATAAATTTCACCTGCTTCCTAACTTTGCCCAGAATTGGACAAAATATAATACCTAGGTAAATGTAACAGAGCTCCAGGGTCAGAAGAAAGCTTAATCACCTGCTCCTTTTGCACCCACACATTGAATGGAGTTCTGGCCTATTCACTGGGGGAGCTGGGACAAGGTGGACTTTGCACTGTGCTTTCCCTTTCTGGACCAAGTAAATATTTCTCCCCACCCACCTGGGCAGAATCCCATACACATACACTCCTTCACTAGCAAGCATGTCTCCTTCCTCCCAGAGAAAGATTTGAGGTACAGATCTCTCACTTTGGACTTGAGAAAAAGTGCTGAGCTGAAAGAAATGTTTCAAAAGCAAAGAATCCGTAACATCAGCCACAACTGATTCTGTCCTGCCAGTGTTTTCTTTGGGTATTCTGACAACTCAGGGCTTAATGGATAAGGGGGCCAATTAACCCTGAGCCCTCCATAAACAGATTAAGTTTCAGACATATTCAGGACTCAAGGGTAGGAGACCATGATTTCCTGAAAATTCCAAAGAACACTGAGATGCTGAATTCAGAATCTGGTCTGGTGACCAAGGTCTGTTTTCAGGCCTGTTAGGTATTTGTGCCTACCCCAGCTAGGCTGGGGAAATGACTGGCCTGGAAGCCCATATTTACATTCCCATTTTAACTCCCAACATATATAACAATTCCATGAACTGCCTTACTCAAGAACACAGCTGTCACATTCTATTGTAACTTGAATCACGATTTTGAAATAATGGGGCACAAGAATTCATCTTACTTTACATACAAAGTATATCTTGTATTGCATTTATTCCAATGGAAAATGAGATGTGAACATTGAAATAGTCCATGTTAGGAAGGATGCGTCCCTCACAAAAAAAATAGTGTGACTGTCCTATGTTTGTATCCATCAAGGACCTACTATGTGCCAGGCTCCAATAATATGGAAATGGATAAAACACAGTTGAAACTCTCAAAAGGAGCTCCATCTTTTGGCAACAAAGACAGTTACACTAGAGTGTGTTAAAGGAAAGCAAATAATGCTGTGAGCACAGAGAGGGAGATCCTACCTGAGTCTGGGGTATTATGGGGGCGTTGAGATGAAGAGAAATACCTGAGCCCATTCCTAAAGATACAGTAAAGAAGATAGATCGACAAAAGGATGCTAAGGAATAACTCCTCAGGCAGTAGAATAAAATTTGTGTATTTATAGACATGTAAGATGTTTAGCTTAGCTGGAACCAATTTAAGGGGGTGGTAAAAATGAGTCAATCTACAATGGATAGGGGAGAAAGAGATAGGGATTTACATTTGGCAAATATATGAAGCCACCCTAAATCAGTACCATTCCACTGATAATGACCATAAGACAAGTCAAGGAACAGTTGGGCAGGGGAAATGCCTTACTGGGCTTCCTCAGAGGGGCCCTTTGGTGAGGGCTGATTGCTAGCAGTGCTGCCTTAAGAGAGAACTTCATTGGCGCTTCCAGCCCCACCATGGGGGATTAGGGTTGAGTTCCTGGCCATAGCTAAAGGGAACAAATGAAATAAATCCCTTCCACCCACTCTCTCCCAATCCCCAAAACATTCAAGATTTTCTTTAACAACAACAAATGATTTATTTGCAACACAGCCCAGTCCCCATCATTTCAATACAGCACAGGAGTAGGAAAGAGTCACACTGCAAGCGTCATTTAGTCCAAGGCAGAGTTCCATGCCTCCCAATACAGCAAGCCCGTCTCCCCCAGAGACCCCTGCCTGGAGCCCAGCTGAACACACAAGGCAAGCTCAGAATGAAGTTGGCCCCAGGCCTCATCACATTTCACCTTCCCCCACAGCCCTTTTAAGCTTCCTAACTGCAGCCTTCTACCCTTCCACTTCCAACCAGGCCAAGTCCCAGCCTCCTAGCCACCAGGGAGCTTTCTTTGTGGGATCATTATCAGGGGTTTAAGGGTTACCTAAGATGAGAAAATACCCTGTGAAATCTATTGTTCCATAGAAAGTTTAAAACGACTCACCCATACATAATCCTAATCAGCAATGACAGCTCTTTATCTCTTCACTATAGACACAGGCGATTTTGAAATGATTGTCATCTCAGCTCCATACACATTTCCCTACTGGCCTTATTAAAGACTGCTCTCCTCACCCTAGGGTGTAAAGGAAACCCAGGTATTTCCCCCAGGTTCAGAGCCTGAGAGGAAAAGCCCTGATGGCTTAGAAAAAGATTCCCTTCCTTCTGTTCCCCTCAAAAGATTTTTATGGAGATTATTGCCTAAAAATTTTCTAGTCCATCTGAGAAACGGTTTTAGATTTAGAGGGAAATCCAAATACAGAAGCAGGCAGTCTTTCTGATATGGTACTAGTTTCTAGGATTCAGGAGGCAAGGCAGAGGAATATAAAATCTCAAGCTGCTTTCTTCACCCCAAATCTTCTAGATCCTCAGAAGATGGACTCTAGGATGATTCCACCTTTCCCAGGACTTGGCAGTACAATTCCTAAAGTTCTACCATCATGGACTGGTGACATTTGACAAAGTCACAATAAAGAAAAGACAAGAAAATAGAGAGGGCCTCTCCAAAGGAAGATCTTAAACATTAAGGGCTCTGACTAATGGTCAAAACATACTGATGTTTGATATCAGAACTATTTTTATAAAGTAAAGTAGGGGAAGAGACTTAAGTAACAACACTGAAGGCAAGGAATAGAACCTATAGATTGGGTAGAGCATCACTTGCAGCTTTAACATTAATATTAGTTTATTTTAAACCCTTTTCTAATTTCTCAGGCAAACCTGAGCTAGCTGTACTTTTGCTATCACCTGCACGTGCAGGACTGGGCAATCATATCCTCATATTCCTTGTACAGGATACTCCCATTTGCTTCAATCAGAAGAATGCTAATGGGAACATACTTATAAGGGACACAGGAGGGCTGAGGGATGCTCTGGTCCACCAGCTCATTGACAAGGTTCTGGATAATGGCATGATTGGGAGAATTGAGACCATAGTGTAGTACCCGAGGGCAGACTCCCTTACAATAGTTTGGAGTATAGAGATGGGGAGCAATGATCCAGTGATCCCAGCCCAGCTGCCGGAAGCTGACTTGGAAAGGGTGGAGGGAACACTGGTTACTTTCAGGCCCATCACGCTCCCTGGAGCGGCCAGGAACCTCAGATGCGATACTGCCTGCTTGACGAGCCCTCCGCAAGAGAAGAGAAGGATCTATTTCCGTAAACTCTTCCAGGCCTCTTGGGAGAAGTTTGGCCTTCTGAACACTCTGAGTGTCATTGAAATAGAGTAACAAGAAAGCAGTGTCCAAGGATGAAGTGCCATGCCACCGGAACTCAAGAACCTCACTACCTCTTGGCTGCTGACACAGGAAGCGGAGTCGTAGAACCCTGCGCCCCTTGTGATTCCAGAGATTTTGCCCAACATGTTGCGTGATATCCATCTCTGTCCAAGCTTCGGGCAGTAGGGAAGGCTTTGAGGAGCCACTTCCTGAAGAAGGAAAGTGATCGGTTGGGCTTTTCTGGACCCAGGGCTCCACATGGCAGGAGAGGTGGGAGTGAGCTAGGTGAAGTTGATGGCGGTAAACCACAGTGGCTCTGACTAGTTGGTATGCTACCCAGTTTGGTCTCAGAGGAAAGTCCAGGGTCTGTTTGTGCCAGGGGCCTGCATCAGTAAGAGGGAACAAGAGCAGAGCATTAGCTTCTTACCTCCTAGCCTGAGTCTCGCTCACAAACCTGCTCAGTGCAAACTGACAAGCAGCCCTAAAATGAATTCAAGATCATAATAATGGCTATCATCTATTGAGCACTTACTAATGTATTAGATGCTTTACATACATTAGCTCTTGAATCCGCAAGAGACTTATGAGATAGTTATTTTCCCCATTTTGTAGACAAGGAAATTGAAGCTCAGAGAAGCTATGCCAGAGGACACACATCCAGTGTGTTAGAATAAAGATTTGAGCCCAAGTATTTTTCCCTTAAGACAAATCGTGTCTAACTTTTAGATCACTCATAGCACCAGGCTGAGAAAACACCTCAAATGCAGAATTGTGTGCATATATTGTATGTATTATTAGCTGACTATTAAAGGTGACCAATAAGGAGGGTCATTGGGACATACATGAATAACAAATCCTCATGCTATATCACTATACAGATGCAGCTTTAGGGTGACAGTCCAATACTGGGGGCTATGGTCCACCATCATTTCAAATCCTGGGCTGAGATGGCACAAAATAATTTTGTCTATCCACTCCTAGTGGGGGCAGGTATTTACCATTTCTGCATTCTATTTGAATTTCTTCTTGAGCAGCTATTCCCTTCTTGGGCCATTTCCCCCTTAACCCTCAGTCTCTCCCTTTTCCATTCCTTACTGGAGATGATTCTTCATTTACCCCATTCATTATAAATACCATTTTCAGCAAGGCCCTGTTCATGTAAATATTTCATTAGCTAAGAAGTCTACTTAGAAGCTATATGCCTTTTAGTGATTAAGAGTTTTAATCTAAACTGTGATGCTGACACCCAGTGGCCAAAGGGTTGGAAAGCTGGGCCTGCAGTGCTCTGACCTTCTGCGCCCTCTCCTGGCAAATGTCAAGAGCAACAATTACGAAAACCACGCACAGCAAGAAAAAGCCTGTCATCTTCACACATCAGTAAACATTCCCAAGTTAATTTACATATTATTCACCTAACCTTCCTTCTCCACTGAATCCAGGAGCCTGGAATTCTTCAGTAGGCCTGGGACGTTCAATATAGAAACTCTTTAATGTTTTGATGCATCAGGATTTTTTAAAATATTATGTATCTAAGTTTCAGGTGTAAAGCATCATAATTCAACATCTGTGTACACTACAGTGTTATCACAATCACAAGCCTAGTTACCATCATTTGTTACCACACAGTTGACTCCCTTCACCTATTTCACCCACTCACCCCCCACCCCTTTCCCTGGTGGTAGCCACTAATCTAATCTCTCTACCTGAGTTTGTTTTTATTTTTTGTTGTTCATTTGTTTTGTTTTTTTATATTCCACATATGAGTGAAATCACACATCAGGATTTTTTTTTAAGTTCATGTTCCAACTCATGCTTAATACACCCTCAAGTTTGGGGCACTTAGATATCATTCAGACAAGGCCCAAGCCAGGCTTGTATTTGCTTTCTCAAATTACTCCATACTCCCATCCTACAATAATCTTTCCAAGAGACCCACGCATACATCTGCCCCACCCTGCCTGAAAAGGAATCCAAACCCAGCCTCTAACAGGCTGTCTGGTGAGGAACTGCCCTTTCCTTTCAGACCCTGACATCACATATTTCCTGAAGCAGGGTGGGGTTGCTAAGGATCAGAGCCAAGAAGGGTCTGCTCAGAACTTTTCAGGGAAATGGCTGACTCACACATCCTGTGTGATTGAACCTGGAATAGCTCTCCAGGCAAGCTCGATTCAGCTGGGTCATCTCCTGATGGGAAGATCAGGCCCTGCTCTCTTGTCATCCATTTCTGGATCCTTTCCAGAGTCCCTAGATGCCGGTATGTCCCACAGTCAGACCAGGGTACTGGCCTAATTCTAGGCATCTTCCTTTCTAGCCTCATATCATCTATACAGAATTGATTTGTGCAGCTCCCAGTTGCACTTGGGAATGAAACCCAGATCCCTTGTAATGACCTCTGAGTCTCATATCCCATTGCTCTCCACAGTCTCAGTAGGTTCCAACCATCCTGATCTTCCTTCTGTTCTTCAAGTCGGACAAGCTTCTTTCCACCCTTTAGGCCTTTGCACATGTTGTTCCCTCTGCCTAGATCAGACTTCTTCTCACTCGCCTTCTCATGCAGAGTTTCTTATCTTACAGACCTCAGCTCAAATATCACCTCTTCAAAGATGCCTTCCCTGACAATCCCATGCAAAGGGAAGATCTCTTTGCTATTCTCTATCAAAACCACCTATTTCATTCTTTGATAGCATTTACCACAATTTACAACTATCTGTGTTTACTTACTTGTCTCACCCATGAGAACCATGCCTATCTTGATCATATTCCCACCACCTAGTACAATGTCTCGCACTTAGCAGTTGCCAAATAAATATTTGTTGAGTAAATCTCCACCCACACCAAGTTATCTTCTTTTTCCTTAATCAGAATGCATTCCCCTCCTTGTATGCATAATCTCTTTACTCCTTACACAAAAGTCCAGCTCAAATGCCACCTCCCAGTGAGGCCTTCCAACTGTCTCACTGCTTCCCTCTCCTTGCACTAAGCAGCAACCTATTTCTTCTTTGGAGTCCCGGGAGCCCTACTGCTTATCCATTTCAAAGCATTTGCCACACTGCACCACCATTGTGTGATTACTTATCTATCTATTCTACCATAGTGGGGGCTCCTGGAGGTCAGGGGAGCGGTTATTTGCCTCTTTATACCCAACCCAAACACAGTGCTTGGTGCTCAATTAAAATCTGTTAAGCAGTCAGCACAACAGGGTAATTAAAAGCACAGGCTCTGGAGCCTGAAACCCTGGGTTAGAAACCCAGCTCTGTTAATTACTAGCTGTGTTACATTGAGCCTCAGTTTCTTTACCTATAAAATGGGTATGTTCATAGTACCTACCTTGTATGATAGTGGGGAGGATTAATGAAAATAATGTTTGCAAAGTACTTTGCCCAATGCCTGGCACATGGTAAGCTCACAGTAAAGGTTGGTTTAGGGAAATGGTAGTTGTTTTACTTGGAGGGAAGGAGGGTAAATCGTGTCTGTTGTAATCGCTGAGACTAGCAAAGGCTTAAGATTGATCTCACCAGGTTCCCAAGATTTCCCTGAATGATGGCTTTCTGCATTTCACAGAGAGCCCCACACTGCAGGAGCCCACTGCTGCCCTGGAACAATGTCTAATGCAGATGTTTAAAGCAGAAGCAACCATAATAGGAACAAAGAAAACTCCAAAATACATTTGGTACCAAAAACCCGAAGTAGCAACCACAGTCTCAATAGAAAAGCTGTTTGGTGTACAAGGATATCAGGGTACCACATTCAAACACAAGTAGTTACAGACAGACAGACTTGAACTCAAATCCTGTCTCTGCCACCCACTGTCCTTGTGACCTCTGCAAGTTATTTAACTTCTGTGTTTTACTTTTCTTATATTTAAAAATTAGGCTAAGTGCTCCAGGACAGCTAATGAGAGTAGCTGTCATTAAGGATTAAATACGATAGCAAATTCTCACGGAGCCAGGTATACAGACTCTCAGATGTGAGCCTGTTTCTGTCCTTTCTGAGGCCTTGTAAATTTCCCCACTTCAGCATCCTGTACCCTTTGCCTTCTAAGAAAACAACACAAACAGCCCTGCACAGGAATGTATATGGCTATTTCTCAATTATAGCTTTCAGTGATATAACAAGCATTAAGACTTTCTTTGAAAGATAGGAGCTGACACATTGCTCAGTTGCCCTGGGGCCTGGGAGAGCTTCCTCAGGTAGGCCCCAAGGCAATCTGTTCTTAAATTGGGCCCCTGAAGGGAAACAGGGTTTGGAGCCAGCTTCTCCCAAGTTTGCCATCTTTTGAAAACCAAGCCTGAGAAAACCACCTTCCAGGCAATGAAGCCTGACAGTAAACTCGCAGATCCCCTTTTCTCTACACTCTTCTTCCCCATTTTTCTCCCCTCTAGGACAATATGGTATGATAACTCACCTCTGAGAGGTCTTGCTACATTACCCAACGGCCTCACCAGCCTCACCATGGTGGCCCCAATGGTGCGGTTCTCCCTAGGGTGCCCGCTCTCATCAGCTGAATGCTGGTACAACTCCAGCATATACCGCAAGGGAGGCCCTAGGACCCGTGGTTTCCTCTGCTGCTTGCCAGGGGCTTCTTCTAGCAGCTCCTGAATCAGGGGCAAGGTAGGGGCCTCAGGCAGGAGGGCAACAGAAGGCTGCCCTACCTGTGTCATTTGGACCCCGTGTTCCATAAAAAACACCAGTCCCCAAAGAAGAAGGATTCTAAGGATGCTTAGGAGGACCATCTTGAAAGGCTTGGTGTTCAGCAACATTTTCCGGCACAAACCCAAAGGATGCCACTCTGACCCTTTCCTTTCACACAGGTAACAGCATCCAGGCTCCACTACCACAAAGGATAGGGCAAGAAAAAATGAAAGGCAGGCAGGCAGGTCCTATGTTGCTTCCTCTAGGAGGATCTCCTTGACCAAAAGGAGGTCTTCTAAATTGTCCTCTTTGCATCAAAACAAACAGAAATGCAGGAGGGACAAGGCAACATGCCCCTCCTGCTCTCCAGGGCCAGGAACAAGATAGCACTTAAAAGGAGAGGTCCATCCCAGGACCTGCTCCCTTACCTTATCCACTAGGATGAAAAGAAGCAGCCCTATCCTGCTCCACTCCAGAGATTTAAAGGCAGCCTCTTAATCAGACCTTAAAGGGCCAGAGGCTTCCTGCTCCCATCCCACTTCCATGCAGTACTTTTCCTAATGCATCATTTCCCAAAATGAGGTGTACTAAGGACTTGCAGTGAGACTATCTGAGGTGATTGTTAAGAATTCAGGCTCCGGGGCCCAGCCCAAAACATGAACTCTCTGAGGGTAGGCTCCAGAAATCTGAATCTTAAATCCTCCAAGAAGTTCCCACTAAAATATGGGAACCTCTGTGTGAGTATGGCTGCTGGAGCTTGAAGAAGATACCTTAACAGTGGTTCTCAATCTTGACTCTACACTGAAATCACCTGGGGAGTTTTAACTATTATGCATTCCTGGGTACCATCCCCAAAGATTCTGATGTTGTGGGTCTGGGGTGTTACAAGGGCATCAGGATTTTTTAAAGTTCTGCAGGTGATTTTAATGCACGGCCAAGTTTGAGAACTCTGACTTAGAATTTTCTGGTTTCCTCATGGAAGGTGTTGAGATCCTGAGTGGGCTTCATCAGAGAAGCCTGGGGCAGTGGAAGATGAATCTGTGGAAGTTGGCTGGGAGCTGACCTAGCTTGGCTGGTTAATGGAGGCATCAGGGTTGAGCCAGTTAAGGCTACCCCAGACCAGGATTCTTCAGAAAAACGGTAGATGTAGTCCTGTCCCTGTCCAAGTAGAATCAGTTTGCTGGGGCTCTAAGGAGAAGGTGGGGAAGGAGGTCAAGATGTGGCTCTTGTGGAACAGGCATGGACTTTGTAAACAGACAGACCTGTGATTCTGTCTCTTATTAGCAGTCATTTAACCACTCCAAGGCAAATCTCTTCGTTTCCCTGAGCCTCAGTCTCCTCACCTGTAAAATGGAGATAACATATTTTATCTCATAGCTTGTTGTGAGGATACAAGGAAATAATCTGTGTTAATTCCACAAAACCTAATTAGGCATATGATATATGGTTACATGCTTGAAATTATTTGTTTCCTTCCTCTGTTTTTTCCAACATGGCCTTGGTCCCTGGCATGTATCGTAAAACAAAAGATATGGGCCCTCTAGTTCTGGACTCAAATCCCAAGTCAACAACCCATTAGCTGGTGACCTCAAGCAAGGTTACTCCCAGACTGAGTTTCTTCATTTGCACTGCTGGCTCCTACAGAGAGTTGTTGTGAATGTTGTATTGTGTACATTTTTATTTTATACAATGACATACAAGTAAGAGATATAAGCAGATGATTCACAATAGGCAAAACCTGAATGGCCAAAGCATGAAAAGATGTAAAAGAAATCAGAAAAATGCAATTTAAAACCACATGTGCTTCCACACTCATTGAATTGGCAACATATTAAAAGTCTGATGCTATTAAATCCAGGTGAGGATGTAGAATGCAGGTAACTCTCTTACACTGCTGGTGGGAATGTGATTTGGTACAATTGTTTTAGAGAGCAATCTGGCATTACCTCTACTGAGTTTGAAGATGTGCAATTCAGGTATTGCTACTATTGCTAGAACAGTAGCTTTTAGATATTTTGGTCTGTGACTCACAGGAATAAATATATTTTACATCAGACCCAATAGAAACACAAGCACACACACACACACACACACACACACACACGTATCTGAAGTAAACATTTCTTGCAACAATTTTTATCTTTCCAACATGTTGGGAGGGATAATATATCATGATGGGTAAGAACACAGCTCTGGAGTCAGGATCCTAATTTCAAACTCCAGCTCTACCACTCATTAGCTTGACCTTGGGCAAGTTACTCAACTTCTCTGTGCCTCAGTTTTCTCATCTGTGAAATGGAAACCATAGCCTATCTCTTCTTCAATTTTGTAATATATATGTAAAATGAGGTTAATCAAAAGACTTACCTCATAGGATTTTTGTGAGTATTTAATGAGTTAACACATGTAAGGCACTTAAAAGAGTGCCTGGCACAAAGTAAGTACTAGACACAGGTTAATAATTATTACATTTCATGCAAGTTGTGCTCTCCAGAAAGCTGGGCTTACCCTGAAGTGCTAGTTCTGACCTCATATGAGCTGTGGAGAGGTAGCCCATAAGTTTCTCTGTCCTCCATGTCCACACCGCTTCTCCCTGCTTCCTTTCCCCCTTCTCTGCCTCCCGACATTCTCTTTGGCCCTTGACCTCTGTTACCAATTTAAACTTCCTATTTTCTATCCAACATAACTCAGTAAAAGAGCAAGTTATTAGGACAACTAGCAAAGGATCCATACAAGAGTTCCCAGCACAGTTTTCTTTGATGTTTCTGTGGTATTTGAGTGGGATTATATACGTCAAGAAGATTTTTCTGCCATAGTAGTAAGATTTTGATACAGGATCAAAAGAAGTAAAAAGAGACAACATATTCACTGGAAATAACATGATTTGGGTTAGAATTCCGGGTTCTGCCATTTTTGTCTGTTGCTTAATCTCTCTGCATCTCAGCTTTCTTAACTGTAAATTTGGAATATTCTTTAGGGCTGTGGTGAGATTTAAATGAGATAATGTATACAAAGTATTAGCATATAGATACTCTTAAATAAATGTTAAAATTTATCATTAATAACCTATGATTTTAAACTGTATGTAAAGTGTAACTGACTGAAGGAAATATCTACTCAGCATCCTTTTAAGTTCAGCTGAATTTTTATTCCATCCCTCTACTCACCAGGGCTTCAGAAGACTCACCTGAATGAATAGGTCAGCTTTCTTATTTTCAGAAAAAGATCCAAAAACTAACTCCATTCTTATCACCAGAATTGAAAGAAGCTGACATGATTATTTCCTGGAAATGCCCCCTCGTGGGCCTGATGTATGCTACTGCCCCAAACCCCCAGAAGAGGGCACCAACTGTCTTTCCAGCCTTTATGGTTGGAGCGGTGGGGTGGAGTGGAGGGGCAGGTTATAGGTGATTGGAACAGGATCTACTAAATGATATTTACCAGGCCTTTCTGCTTTAGAAAAAGACAGTATGTGAAAACACTAATTATTTAAATTGGACAGTTTAGGAGGTGATTATTGACATGACTGAAAGTGTTCTTGACACAACAAAATAGGTCACCACAAGTTGCTTTGAGCAGCAGGAAACCTTAATGCACACTGTGGGTTAACTTTTCAAACTATAATGTGCTGGGCACACTGGTAAAAGGCATGAAATTTACAAAAGAATAGATTTTTATCCAATTTGGGGGAGCATGGGTATTGTTTAAAGTACATATGTACTTTAAACATCATCTTTTACATGATTACAATTTACATTTCCTTACAATTGTGTTCATTCAACAAATATCTAATAAGTACCTCCTATGTGGTTGTGTAAGGTGTTAAGGGTGCAGGCCTATTGCCGGACTGCCTGGGTTCAAATTCCAGCTCTACCATTTAACTAGCTTGGTAATTTTTGCAATTGACTTAACCTCTCTGTACCTCAGTTTCCTCATCTAATAACAAGGATAATAATAGCAATATTTTAGAAGACTGTCGTGAAGATTAAATGAGTCAATGCATATAATAAGCATACTATGTTCTAGATACTGTACTAGACACTAGGAGTACAGAAATTAATAAGACAAGTTCTTGGTCTTTAACATTCCCAGTACTATGCTTGGCACTGCAGTAGGTTGGGGGACACCACGATCAAACAGTTTCTATCTCAAGAAGATAAGAACCTTGATAGAGACATAAAAGATAGGAAATATTTCCCATAACCATGATATTTCCTCTGATTACTCTTCTGAGTTCTTAAAATATAGACCTATTTTCTAGATGTTCTGTTAAAAAAATCATTTTCCTTAAAACAGAGAGTATGGTATATTTCATAAAAATATTTATTTGGCACTAGACTGTATCATTTTACATATTATATCTCATTTTATCTTCATATCAACTCTGTGAGTTAAGTACTATATTCCCATTTATAGGTAAAGAAGTTGAAAATCAGAAAAGGAAACTTGTCCAAGGTTGTACAGCTCACAACTGGTGGAATCCACTGGGATTTGGACCCAACTCAGAGGAAATTTCAGAGCCCCTCTCTTTGTATCTTGTAGGTTGACAATGGACATTTAGCCCCTTAAGAAGACTCAGCTCCCCAATAAGATAATCCCACAAAGATTCCTGAGTACAGAATTTTAACTCTCATCATTGCTTATAGACCATAACATTCCCAGACAACTAGAAGACCAGGTTTTCTTTTAGCCAAGTAAGCAAGCGAGAGCTAAGTAAGAGCTAGGCATGATACACCCTGAAGTTCCCTTTGGCCTCAGAGACACCTGCTGTCTTTGGAGCTTTTGGTCATTTTTGGGTAATCAAGTCATCAGTAATCATTGACCGTATTCCCATTCTATAGCCTCCCTCTGTTTAATCCCAGTAGCTACTTGTATTTCTTTAATTTGATAATAAAGCAGATGACTAGGTAACTGACTTCCCACATTAAAGGTAGGGAGACTGTGCTTCCCCTGAAAGACCTACAAAGACTGGTTGCATACGTATCACTCCATCTTCTATTGTATGTCAGCTTCGCAGGGATTGGCATGGCTGAATACAAATGGATCCTGGGCCACAACAACTCAGTACAAGGAAGACATTCTGGATACTTGGGACAGGGAAGAAGGACATTAAGAGTCACCTCTTCAAAGATTCAGCAGCTATTCTTCTGTTCTGCAGGTCTACAAGCCCTGCCC